AACGCGGATAACTAAATATGCCCAATTGATTTAAAGAGTCGGATTATCACAAAGGGATGAAGAGATACCCGAGACGGATGGTTACTCAACAATTAATGCGTACGAATACTCATCAGAAAACGACTCGGAAGAAAAGAGAGCATTGAATATATAATTACTTTTAGGACGCATCCAAGTCTATTTACAAAGGGAAGGTACTCAAAAGGGGGAGTGCTTGCGCTAGTCGCTGAGGTTTTTGTGGTATTTCTCAATGTAGCCTGTCGTAGATATGTCGGCCGGTGGTGGCCAAGCCATGTGCCGACGTGTGCACTGTGTGTGGTGCGACCACACGGCCCATATGGCCCCCGACATTCGGTTATAGTCAGCATAGTTGCGGAAGATGATTCGACTTACGCGCCAGCGAGTCTTGCATCCTCGCCTTCGGGATGTAACGACGCAACGCGTCATTATGCGCGTGAAACAGCTGTCGCGCGGCAGCGAGTGGATTTGTACAGATGCTGTGTCCTAGAACAGAAAGAAGCCGACAGTATGGAATAAAAGGCAGTTACTCGCGTATAGGCCCGACCACTTAGTTCGGATCGGTTGATTTTTCTTTACCCTGAAGAATCAGTTGAGTTTAGGACGGTGAAGCCAATGGAACCCCGTCACAGACATACAAGTTCTACTAAATCAAATAGTAAACACTTTATAAGATGGTTGGACAGGTAAGTAACTGCCGAGACGAGGTCGAAGCGATCTAGAAAATTCTGTCGAGCACGAATGCCATGGTCTCCGGATAGTTAGTTCACGTTGGGCTGTATCGTTTTTGACCGATTAATCAACTGGCCAAATTATCTGAAGTCATTATGAATATTCATTGACTAGGAGCTGCTAAAAAGCCTGAGTTTTCCCTGGTTTTGCTGTTACTTGGTGCCCTTAGATCTATCTCGTCACGCGTCAGACTATGGACTTGAACATGGCCGTCTTCGCCAGTCTGCGGTGTTTGACATACTCGTGTGTAAATGAGCAAAGTGGATAAAAAACCGCGCCGACAACCGTTAGCTAACAGAAAATGATTAAAAAGCGCCAATTTACCGCTGTTTGCAACACATTCCTGCTTTAGCTGCCCAGGCTATTCCGTCGAGCATTGGCATCCCCGCCTTGGAATACTCGTCCGCCAAAGTGACTGAGTGGCAGCCTTACCAAGCGAATTATGTCACCCGTAATGCAGTCTTTAACAGCTTAACGTGTAATCTGAATGGGCGGTTGGTACACCTAATCGGTCGCCACATTAACTAAGAGCCACTGTGTAAATATAATAAATGAAAAATGTCTACATTTTAAAATGTCAAATTTATGAGCGGGTAATAACAAAACCTGAAACGTACGCGAACATCTTTAGGAAGAATAGTATTCTTTCGAATGGCATTTAGGCGGACACGTAGTGGCGCAAAATGAGCGGCAACCATGCGTCTTTTATAGTCACGAACCATAATTGCGTCTTGGAAACCGTGCCGAACTAAAAAGAGTTAAGTTACAGAGGCAGAGCACGAACTTTTCCAATTCCTATAAGGGGGATAGTCAAGGAGTTCTTCCTTCAGGAGACGTTCGTGCTCAGGGCCGCTGTGGTGCGGGAATGTCCTGTAGGGTTCACGAGTGTGCTCCCAAAATATGCTTTGGGGAATCCTAGGAGGCATGTGCAATGACCTAGTCATAGCCACAAAGTTAAATATGGACTGCAGCAATAACAAATGATATGGCAATTACCTTGGCAGTAGAGGTAGTCCCAATTTTGCAGGCAGAAAAAAGTTTTGTCAGATGCTGGAGAGCCATGAGGAAAGGCGAAATCAAGGTGATTTAACGATATAAACTTCTGTCCTCGTTTGATTTTAAGGACTCTGAGGGAGAATCTAAAACAAAATGCAAATAAACTGTCATGCAAAAAAGAAGTCACAGGTAAGCAAAGACTATAGTGCGATCGCATATCCAGAGCAACGGAAGGTCGTGTTATTACGACACTGTAAAATGGAATACCGGTGCAACAAATGAACCAGGTGGTCATTCCAGTCTTTATCCTCTTTTTCGATGCTTCTGTAACACTGACTGCTTGCTGCCATGCGACCGACTTCAGGGAATCGAATTCAAGTGTATAAAACATATTACATATCAAAATAGAGTCGTGGTCGTGGGAGTATTAAACCGTAGCATTCTCTGAAATATTCCTTAGACAAACAAGCCCATCCAGCCAGTCCTATATAACTGCAAATTCTGGACTGTGAGCGTGGGTGCCGGGTGAAAACTCGATTGCTTCGCTATCGCTTCCCGAAGACGGCCTCATAATAAATGACCGACTTCGCCTCGAATGTGGCAGTCCGCACTCGCTGCGACGATATTGCGAAGAACGACTGAGGTGGTTTGTGCACGCTCTCAATCGTCCACCCATCAGTGATGTGTTGTCGTTCGTGACTGGGCGTATCATCAACTGAGCGGAGTCGGTTAGTTTAAAAGCTGATTCGACACAGCTTGCGAAGACATAGACGGAGCCTTGGGCCTTGGGTATATGGTTCCTGCCGGTAGCGAAGGTAGGTCGATTTCTCCCGACACTCCGCCACGGATCGTGGCAAATGGAGGTGAAATCTGCAACCGCACAAATTGCAACGAGTACAAGTATTCCACAAAACCTGAGAACATTTAGTCGCCCGGGGCTAGACATTTTCTAGCCCGTTTGACTTGCGGACTAGTCCGCAGGAAAGTAGTCAACATGTAGTAGGGCTGTCCCCGTTTATTCGTTGTAATTTGGGTTTAGTATCTAATTTTCCTTTAGATCCACTGCATCTTATATATTTAGGCGTGGTGAGGAAGCTAATTCGCCTGTGGGTTAGAAATTACCGGTCTAAGGCAACTGGAAGGGCACAGAATACAGACAGTTTTTGCTGTACACAGGGATAATTGTCCTGAAGGACATTTTACCGGCAGGGCACTATAGACACTTCCTCATCTTGTTCACGGCCATTAGATTGCTTGCCTCAGCGGACATTTACATGTCCAACGTAGGCTACGCTAGGCATTTATTAAAGCTGTTTACCCGTAAATTCGTTACGTTATATGGGCAGGAACACATGATCTACAACGTCCACAGCATCATGCATATTGCTGATGATGTTGAAAGTCATGGGGCCTTGGATTCCTTCTCATCTTTCGCATTTGAGAGTTACCTAGGTCGTCTGAAGAGACTCTTGCGTGGTCCATCCAGACCGCTACAGCAAATAGCTAGGCGACTTAGTGAATTTGACGCACAAGGTGTGTGCTCGCACAGTGGTCAACAGTTTCGGCTTATGCGTAAGCACACCAAGGGCCCGATTCCAGAGGGCTTGGATGTTCAACAACAGTTCACCTGCATAGTGGGCACCGGTTTTCGAGTGGATACATCCTCAGCTAATCGGTGCATAACCCTAGGCGACAAAATAGTCTGTGTAAAGAACATACTTGTAGACAGAACAGGACAGATTCTACTAGTATACAGCGAATTCACCAACATTGCTGATTACTTCCTGTATCCTGCAGAGTCATCATCCATGCAGGTGTACACAGCCGATATCTCGGAAACAATTGACTGTGCACACTTTCCCATGACCTTCTCTAAGTACGTTTGCTTTCCTCTAGATAACTCATACCTATTAATGAAGATATTAGGCTATGAACAGCCATCCTTTGCCACTATCAATCCCGCCCTCTCCATGTACAATGCTCGTTGACTCTACAACCACACAGTACCTAGTTAGTGATTAACGAGCATCAGGGGATGTAGTGGTCGTAGTTATAGGTGGAGCTACTAACTACTATTTTTTCCCTGTGTGGTTGTAGACATCCATGGCTACGTCTTCCAGTGACGAGGAGACTGCTCGGCGAAAGTCAACAAGACAACGCCGCAATCCGTTAGATGAGCGATACTGGAAACTTGGCGAGCCGCCAATGTCACCGGTAGTAACTTACAATATACTTACAACGGTTTCTATTTAGGATGAAAGAGAATCAGATCAAGAATCTGTAGACACCCTACCAGCAAGAAGACAGCGCAACGACACAGGTAATGCTATATGACACTAATTTTCGTTGTAGTATGCCATGACCCGTCCTGCCGGGCAATTATTTCTGATATGCAGGCTGATATAAAAAGACAGGGCAAGAACATCGCATTTCTGCGTAAACAACTTGCATGGGTCATAAAGAGCAACTTGAAAATCCTTGAAAACCAGCATGCAATGCAGGTTAATGACATTCGGCGACAGCCGGCCCCAGGAAGCTCGGAGGCCGCCTTTCCAACCAATCCCCTAAGGCGGCCCATAATCACAAAGTCCGACTTCCAGGAGGTGAACAGCAGACTGCATGACCCCCAGGTTAAGTCGCAGCTGGTAAGGCTTAGCGAATTTTATGACATTCATAGACGAACTTCCTCGTATGCCTCGGTGGGCGCAATACCGACGATTTCGTTAAGAGGGTATTTTATGCCCTGTTTGACGACGAGGCGTCCATGCACGTCAATTTCCGAGGAAAAAAACCAAGGAGGGCCTGTGCGGGTCACAGGTATACGAGGTGATAAAGGGTAGGCCCTTGCTTACATGTAACTCTGCATGGAAAACAGACGTTTATCCCGCTTGGAACAAGGGAGGAAGAGTCGATGTATATGAACTCAAGGCCGCCTTCACAAGGCGACCGAAGAGATCGCTCGACGCCCTTCGAGAAAGGCGATCTCGGCCGGATTCTCTTATTGATGACTCTGACGGTAAGTGAAACTGAGGTATTATTACACATACTTGGTTTAGAACCCTCAACAGAACCCTCCTCGTACCGGCCGCGAGAGGAATAGTGCCCAGAATAATAGAAATCCTTATTTTTATAATAAATCATTAATTCTACCATGTTAAAACGCCTTCCTTCAACTTTCGTGGGGGGGGGGGGGGGGAGGAGGGGGGTTCCGTAGTTCGTTTAGTACTAAATCGGATGGGAAGTGCGAAAAAGAGCTTTCGTAGGTGCTCAAACGGAAAGGTCGCTAAGGAATGTCGTCCCGCAGCTGCATAGTGCCGTATCGCGACTTTTCGCCATTGTTTCCATAGCGACCACATGGACAAAATCCGCTACAAATCGGTCATTGTATCGCGACTTTTCCACAGCGAGGCGCCGGCACCTCGCTATGGAATTGCCACAAGCTTGTGTAGGACTAGTAAACTGACTGGCTGTCAGTGCTCGATCTCTGCGAAGAAAGGAATTTTTCTGCTGTCCC